GAGGCAGTTACTTATACCGCCCCACTCCCTTCTCGCTATAGCGTCCGCAGGCCGAGAAACACTCTCTCGGACCCGCCAAATAAACTTTCAAGCGACCTGAACTGCCTTCTGGCGGCTCAGGCCAATACTAATTAAAGTAAAAATTATTTAAAATCAATATGCCTTCGTAGGCAGTCCCTAAACGGCACTTAGCCGTCTGCGCCCTCTTTTCCCAAAAGAGGGTCGCTTTAGATACGGCATATGCAGCTTTAATAGAGCTAGTTGCCAGTCCCCAAAGGCGGTTTTTAGTGGGTATCACTTAGGTCCCCCGGTAGGCAGTGAGTCCCACATAACCAGGACAGACCGGCTGTCGTGGTATGCATAATGCATTTTCCGCCTCCCTCAGTGGTAGCCCCTTTCCAATTGCTTCGGGCGCAAAAAAAAAAAAAAAATAACGATAAGCCTGAAACTTGTCACTAAACTATGGATAAAAGAGATGAACTTGATTCCTTACAAGCTTGTACCTGGCGCGAACAAACCTAAAATATGACTTAAATATTTGCTACTTATGTTAAAAAAATCATATTTTTGCAGGACCTGGGAGTTTGTTTTTATTTTATGTTTTATAATTTGCAGGTTATGCAGTGAAATCACACGTTCTTGTGATAAATTGTTTGAATAAATTGAAAAGAACACATTTTTCATTCCGTTCTTGAACGCTATTTTTATAATAAAATAGCCTTCATTATCTATTGCCATAGATAAAATACAGAAAAATATTTCTTTAATTTTTCAGATTTAAAAAATCTTTTATGACTGTCGCAAGTATTACAGAAATAGAAACTATTTATTTATGCTTATTATTTATTGTTTTATTACCTACATATTTTTACATAACTGTTACGAACGATGTCAAGCACCCAATTTCATACATTTCCTTTTGTATATTTTTGAAACAGCTATTGTATAAGTAAAAACAATAAATATTAGTATATTTGATTCAATAATATTTCTCTTTACATACATTGAACGAACCATTATTAGAAAGTTACCATTTACGTTTATAAAACAGTTTTGGAATAAGCTTATGATATTATAATGGGTCCAGTGGACCCAGTAGCGAGTACTTGTGCTACAAATTAGAGCGCGACTCCCTAAGTATTAAGTATTAAAAAATTAGTTTGTTTTAATATCATGAAAACTTAACTGTACAAGATTTTACATAAATTGTTGAAGTAGAACAGAATTTTTTCATGGTTGTATTAGTGTCAAAATAGATTCAGTGACTTTATAAAAAAATAAAGTTTACATATCTAGGAATAAGGTATGTTAAGTATGGGATATTTTTTTAATCCACTATTCTATTGTATTCTATTATATATAGTTATGTGTGGTGATAGGGAGAAACTGTAACAGGAGATGCGTGACAGCTATAGCAATATTCCCCCGTGAGCCAATCTATGGGAGAGGCTTATCTTCAGCAGTGGACTTTATTTAGGATAGGCTGTAATGATGAACGAAGATGATAGGGATCAATTGAAAGAAAAATTCACAAAACATATTCTTTAGATTTCGTACACAACGTTATAAATAAATCCATGTCTAGATACGTACAGTAAGTACTAAATATAAAAATATATTTATAAGCCCTGTGAATTGGAATCAACTTCTTTTTAAATTCCGTTAATGTGGATTAACAGAATATTGAGTTTGTTGGTTCGAATGCTTGAAGCTGGCCGACTCTCTAAAAGTCTGCCCGATCCAAAATTAAATAAATTAAAATTAAAATTTTGTAGTACCGACATCAATATATATTATTAAGAATAAACTCAAATACTATTGGTCAGACCTTGATCAAATTTATATGGAACCACGTGATAAGCTCTCAAATATAAAAAGAATCATCGAAATCGGTTCACCCAGTAAAAAGTTATGAGGACACACATAAAAAAAAACATACAGTCGAATTGAGTACCGTCTCCTTTTTGGATGTCGGCAGAAAAAAGTCAGATACGTTAGATGAATATGGATAATTCTTAAGATAGTATTGTTGAAAAGTATTTTAAAATGTCTTCTATAATAATTCATGTCTCTTTAAAAACAATATAATTTCAATTTATTACTTAAAAGTAGAGCTGCATATCAAGCGTTGCAAATGTAAAGGCAAATCGCGGGATTACTTAAGCGTAGGCGATACGCTTGTCAGGCTGTCGAGTTTACTAATTTATAAATACTTGATCCCATACATATTAGTCTACTAAGTCCGGAGCTAGGCGTACGACAAAATTCAACATTATTATAAGTCTTTAACCACCATTGTAAATTCAATAAAATACAATACAAACACTCACGCCTGTCACCCAGAGGGGTAGGCAGAGACTACGGACTTTCATTTGACGCGATCCTGACACACTTCTCTCGCTTCCTTTACATCCATATATTTACGCATACACGCTCGTCGGTTAAGGTTTCAATGTATCGCCGATTTAGTCGATAAATCTTCGTCTAGGGCGTCCCTTCCCGACTTTGCCGATTTGTAAATAAATTTTTGATTTGTAAATTCAATCGTGATTTAGTCGAATACTTTCTAATTTGTTAGATACTCTGACAGCAAACCTGGCCATTATGAAAAAGCATAACCTAGAACTAGAAGAAAATAGTTTTACATGTACGCGGTGAAAGCCTGTTTTCATTTTTTGGCAGTAACGCTTTTTATAAAATATAAGTAGCCTAAGTTACTCGTTATAACGTCAGCTATCTGATTGTGAAATCCCATCGAAATCGGTGCAGCCGTTTCGGAGATCAGCCGGAACAAACAGACAGACAGACAAAATTTTTAAAATTGTGTTTTCGTTATAAGTACCGTATATACTTTCATTATATTTAATAAAATCTGTTATTTTGACATTACAAACAGACACTTCAATTTTATTTATTTGTATAGATTAGTAGTATACAGGGTTAATTTGTAATAACCGACCAAATTTGCAAAGAAGTTTCAGAAAAAGTAATAAAGGTGAAGAAAAATTTATTAAAAAAAATCTCAATTTTTTTTTAAATTTTTTTATATTCAAAATGTTCAAAATAAAGTAGAAGCCTTATTTACTCGTATTTTCAAAAACTGCAATAACGGTATATCGTGGTTTATATATTTGAACTTAAATTTAAAATTTTGCTATTCTTTTGAAAATAGCCTTGTTTATGGATGCTCGAACAGTTTCAAACTGATATATTATGTATGAAAAACTTATGATAAAACTGATTGCAATTACTTGACAACCTACCTATCAATTTGAGCGGAAGCTATACACCCAATACGTACATTTTATATATTACACTAGCGTTCTGTCATACGAAACACAGCAGTGTTAAGCTGCTATTTTACGTTGGTATTGTGTGAGAGCGTGGTCCTTCCACGAGCGAGCCGACCCATTCATACTACAACTATACTATTAATATAACTGCAGCATAGCTCTACCACGTTAAACCACGTTACCACGGTAAGCTATTGCCATCACTGCGAGAATACAAATATTATATTGTGAGAATATGACTTCAATTGATCAAGTCGTTCGAAAGCTACACAATGATGAGACATCGTGTTGCGAGTTAAAAGGAATATCTTCGATCATAGCAGTGATTTTTTATCATCATAATCATCAATCATACAGCCCTTAACAAGTCCACTGCTGAACATAGGCTTCCCCCAAGGAATGCCATAGAGCACGTTCCTGAGCCACCTGCATTCATCGACTTAACAGGTCGTCACTCCATATAATGGGGGGACGCGCTTTTTTGATAAACAGCTTCAATTACTAAATTTAATTAACTTTTTTTGCGCGAAAATCAATTAAATATTTCTTTATATATAAAAATTATGTTTCACATTGTTTTTCAGCGATGAATTCCTAAACTACTGAACCGATTTCAATTTTGCTTTCAAGTTGCACACTGTGTGCAGTTTGGTCCAACTTGAGGGATAGAACAGTTTTTATCCCGATAAGTAATCCTCAATATTTTTTATTGCAAATTTAATGATTTTTTATTGGACAAAGGATCGTCGGAAAGGGCAGAACAACGTCTGCCTGGGCAGCTAGTAAGCAAATAAATTGAAAAGCCCTATTATAAATGAACCACCACAAATTACGTGACATGTTATTGTGAACTAGAACTTGAGAACTTTTGTTATTTTATTTGTAAGATGTGAAATCAACTTATTTATTGCCATACTCTATGTAAATATTCCATTGTGAACACACAGCTCCGCTTAGCTTGACTGGGACGGCGTCCAATTGGAATGCATAAATGATACAATCTGCTGGATTATAGTTGACGTAGTCTCGTTTATAATATTAGGTCAACGTTTCGTATTAAATATGGTTTTAAATTAGCTTTATGCAAAGGTATTTATGTGTTGATTTATCATGTGCTCGGCGAACTTCGTGAGAAAACCTGTATTTCAGAGAAATTAAAAAAAATCTACCAAAACCTTGGGGAATCTCAGGGAACTTTTTTTCTTAGTTATAAAACTGAATGATGATATGGCCAGTCGTGGGTCGTTCGTAGGCTGTTACTTTATTACTTTAAAGTTTTATTTTTAAGTAGATTATTGAATTTTTAATAAATCAACAAAATTTAAGTGTCTAAAAGTTTTTTCTCTTAATTCGGAGTAATTTCTAAGTCAATTACCATATTTCGTAACGTGATCGTAAAGGTCGACTTAAGTTTAAGTGCATGTCAAGTTATGATAAAGTAGTAAGGGATTTCAGGGCTTTATTTTTGAATCTTTTGAGTTGTATTTAATGCTTAATTTTAATTATGTTTTGCTTTTCATGTCTTGTAAATTATTTTACTTCGTAAAATAATTTGTTACTGCAATTGACTAAAGATGATATTTAGATAATTATTGATACAGAGTGAATACAAATAGGTATTCCATTTTATTCTGATATTTAGTATTAGACTCATCTTGGTTTTATGGAGAACAAAAAAAAAACAATCAATTTCAAATTAGAATTTACCTTGCACTTCATTGCTAATACGAGCTGGTACCGATGCGCTGTCAAAGCATCTTTGTATGAGCCTTGACTGAAGTACGCCGCACCGAGATTGCCATGTGCGCGACACTCTCCCGCGGTGTCGCCAAGTGACTTTGCAACCGCTAGATCTTGTTGCATATAGTTGATGGCCGCGTCAAGTTGACTGAGCGCCCAGTGTGCTGATGAAAGTGCGCTGAATACTGAGCCCCTACGAACAAATTTTTGATTAAGTTTTTTAAAATGTTTTTTAGCATCACTGACTTTTTTTGAGATGTTGAGTTGAGAATCCCAGTCCGAGCTAAATAAAGCTAGGAAATAAAAGAATTACTTCAATTCTAACTCATGCACGTACATACGAGTATACTCTGATTAGTACTAAGCGAGCAGCACCACTTTCTGGTTAGAGGCTAGTCCTCTTTTAGTGGGACGCCCGGTTGAATGTGCCACCCACCATACAAAGACATACAGGCAAATGACGCAAGTATTGATCCGGTATGGTTTTAGGTGAAACCCTGTTTGTAAAAATGTTTATAGTGTCACGTGACTAGTTATAAACCCCCCCCCCCCCCCCACCAGCACCACCCAATGCAATTTTTAGAACCGATAGAAAACCACGTATTTTTAAAATAAGTTTTTATTTTAGCTGAAAAATAGTGCAAACGTACTACGCATAGTTATCTTTTTTTTATTCATACATTTTTTACAGTCCGTCATAATTCCTCTGCAGTAGCAGCATTAAACTACTATTTTATGCTGGTATTCTGTAAGAACGTGGTCTTACACCAGTCAAGCCGACCCGTTCGTACTGCAACCATAAAATAGGTTCTAGCACGTAAAATTGAATTGATGTGAAATTTATTGAATTAATTAATCAATAGTGCCTAATTTAGTGGATTTATTGACTGCGTGAATATAGGAACCGTAAAGGGCCTGAAGCATTGGTAATGAAAAAAGATAAAATACGTAAAAATAGTTTCATTCAATATATACATATGTTGCTGTAAATATAAGAAATCGTTATGACATAGTTGCCTTCAATAAATTTGAAGAACAAAAGCTTCCTTCGTTGTTTTTTTTAAGTTCTCTCTCAACGCTTAACCCTCTATCCTTTCAGAAATGATGTCACGTCAACACGCTCGTATTAGGGGGAACAATGAACAAATTTTGACTCCAGCCACAAAAACACGGGCTACAAAGGGACCGCCCGCAGCCCTGCGTGAGCCGGTTTTCGCGGCGTACGTAAATAGCTGGGGCGATTAAAAAGTGAAGATAAATATTTTAATTTGTAGCCGAGTTAATGAATCACATCGCGTAATGTAATTTGACATAACACTCGACACCTCCTCGCAGGTGTTGATGACATACTTGGAGAACCTTTTTCTTTTAAAATGATATCAAACTTAAAAGTAAAAACTTTTTTCTGATTGTTATGGAATGTAGTTTTTTTAAACATCAAAGTACCTAAGTACTTATTATCTATCCTCTACAACCAACCAAAAACAAAGAATATCGTGATTGAAGAGATGTGTGATCACCTCTGAACTCATATTGGCTCTTGCCCCTTCAGGTTGGAAGATAGCAGAGTTTTCTCATTATGTTTTCTATCACCGCTGAGCACATAGTACATCAACACTTAAAATTGCATTTCCAGTGCAACTGTTTTAGTGATGCTAGCGAGGAAACAAAGCTCGTGTTAACTGAATTATATTTTTTCATTTTACAGAACAACGATGATTTACTAGGGGGCAATAATTTACTAGGTGGTAACGACAATTTACTACTTGGATTTTTTCTATACAGGAGTCTATCTGAGTAGGCGTCACCCTCTTAACCATTTCCGTCGCCAAATAACAGTGTCTGCACTGCTGTGTTCCAGTCTGTAGGGTATGTATACAGGGTCTAAGATCCAGTATAATTACAGGCTGTAAGCATTGAGTTATACAACACTAAATCAATGGCTGTAAGGCTCAATTTACATTGCCGCGGATCGGAATGGAAGAGAATTTATGTAACAAAATTGTACATAGTTAAATAAATTTTATGTTAATTGCGTAACGTGCAAACTAGATATGATAAAAGAATTCGCGCGTCTTCCGTAGAATCCTCGAGAATTCGTGCGACTGCTTTTTTGGCTCATATTTTTTTATAGGATAGGGTGATAAATGAGCACACAGCCAACATACCACCTGATGGTATGTGGTTGCTGTAGCCCATAGACATCTACATTTATCTTCAATAAAGAATCAAAATGCAGATGCGTCGTCACTGATGAGGACTAAGATGGAATGCCTCTTTTCCAGTAAAAATGGGTATCTGGTTCTCTACACTCACCATACGAAAACACATCAGCATTATGCTGCTATTTTACGCTGGTATTCTGTGAGAGCGTGGTCCTTCCCCGGTCGAACCGACCCATTCGTGCTACAATTATATTACTAATATAGCTGTGGCATGGCTCTACCATGTATGCTTATTCATATCTAGTTTGCACGTTACACAATTAATATAAAATTCATTTTACTATGTTTAATATAGTTGGCTTCCATTCCATTTCGCCACAATGTAAATTGAGCCTAAGGCATTCCATCATAGTCCTCAGATGTGACAACGCATCTAGCCTTCTTTGTTTGAAGTTGGTTGCAGGTGTCCAAGGGTTGCAACATCAACTTATTACCAGGTAGACTGTGGGTTCGTTTTAACTTTATATTTTTATATGAGGGGGGAAGACCATGCGGATTACTTAATGGTGAGTGACTGTCGCCGCCAATGAACACGCAGGGATTTCAAAGCATTTTACGTTAGTTTTCCCAGATGAGACAACCAATTATTGAAATCGTAATACGTTGCAATGTGGCTGATGGACTGTAAGTCCGTTTGTCACTTCAGTATTATAAAAGAAAAGAATTCGCTATGTCTATTTCGCTTTAAAATGATGCCGATATATCAAACAATCTATAATCTATAGCATACATACACTCATTCAGTTTGTAATTTACAGTTATCTGATAGATATTTTGTACGCGTTAAAGATTTTATCATTTCAATGGACCGACTCGCTCCGTACCGAGCGTTTGATAATGACATTCCTCGCCTAGCTTCTCGGTTTCACTCCAAACGTAGTTATTCTAGCTCCACGTTTCTTTAACTGTTTATCGTCAGTTAACAATTATATCATGTCGATAAGAATCTAAAAAATAAATGTCTCTTTAAAGTTTTCTCGCAACGAGCTACAGAATAATGCCGTATCGATACGAATTCAATCCATCAAACGCCGATAAGATCTGCTCGAGGTGTGGGTTTCGACGCGCGGTCAGGTTTGAATTCGAGTGGGGCGGGTACACACTTGTTCCGACGACAATTTCGGAACTCACCTGAGTTGCTTGATAATGCTAAGTGGAGGCGTATTCAAATGAACGGTTACTTTATGTATATTACATAAACTGATGTAGAGTAAGTAAACACAAGTTGTGTATAAACTCCTCTTTAATAAATTTTATTATTTAACTAGCGACGCCTGCGGCTTCGCTTGCGTGATAGCAGATATATCTTTACGTCCATTTTCATAGTAACTTTTTTGTATTTGAATTGACAATTTGATCCACCTAATGGTAAGTAGCTACTGCAGTTTAGCATTGTTTAGATGTTTAACTCCTTTTTCTTGTTTACATTTGTTAAATCTATAAGACAATAAAAAATTATTATTAATATTATAGTCCATGGCTACCTGTAAACAACTTCAAAAAAAGAATGCTTTTGAAGGCCAGCGTAAAATACAATACACACGGAACACAGCAGCTTAATACTGTTGTGTTTCGTGTGAAGAAAGTAGAAACCGGAAGAAGAAGAAAGAAACTGTAGAGAAAGAGAAGAAAGTAGAGAACCGGAGACCCTTTTTACGGGAAACGAGACACTCCATCTTAGTCCTCAAGGGTGACAAACATCTGTATTTTGATTTTTAATCGAGGATAAACGTAGATGTCTATGGCCACAACATCCACTTACCATCAGGTGGACTGTGTGCTAGTTTGTTACCTTTATTCTATACAAAAATGCTAACAGATGCTTTATTACCTCTGAAGACTAAAAGGCCTTTTAGCCTCTAGTTATATTGGCTTTCTATACTGGAACACAGACTGATTGGTGGCGAAAATAGGTAAAAATTTGGTATCTACCTAAACGGACATCTAGTCAGGCAAGGAGTCTTACCACTTAGTAAAATGTTACTCCCGTTACAAAATTCCTATCCCATGTTTTCATCCAATATAATCTATCTGCATCTTAGCATCCAAATCCATATACCAGCTTTTGTGCGATTGAGTGACAAGTATCTAAACTTCTTACAAATTAAGTAAACTTTCACATATAATAATATAGATAAAAAAGTATGTAAGAATCAGTCGCTGTAAGCTTTTGGTTTTCTATCAAGAGACCATATTGAAATACCTCCGGCATTGACGATTAAATTTAGATTTGCACACAAAGAAACTTAATTCCCGACTCACAAATAAGAGTTCTTAAATAAGTAAAAACTTACAACTACGTCTTAAACTTGTACATCTGATGTGTGGCCTATAGATATACAAATCTATATTTATAAATATTCTGGATAAATAAACAAATAGTGACGATTAAAAATGTAAGTAGTCAAAAGCGTTAAGTCGATGGATGCAGGTTCTGCTTAGCATGAGGCTCCTTATGAACTAAATTAATATAGATTTTAAACGCATTATACATTTTAATTATAACATATTTTACAATTATCTTAAAAGGTGTTTGAAATTTTTGGTACAAATACTATAGGCGCCATTAAAATGGTTAACTATAATTTTAAGTACTCATTTACTACCCGCTCCTTGGTGAAGTAAAACATCGTGATGAATATCGTACTGATAAATTAAAGAAAAATCTTTGATGACATGTGAACGACACATAAATGATAGGAAGCCTGGGCAAGCAGCTGGACGTATTAGGCTATAATCAAAGAACACTGAAAAAATTATATAAAAAGTAAGCAAAGAGAATGTTTTTAAGTGGTAAAGTCATTGCTGCAGCTATATTATATCTGCAGCATGAATGGGTAGGCTCAATCAGTGAAGGACCCAGAATAACAGCGTAAAATAACTTAATGCTCTTGTGTTTCGTATGGTTAGTGTAGAAAACTGGAGACACCTTTTTCTAAAAACGTACGTATTCAATCTTAGTCCTCAGGGGTGACAACGCATCTGCATTTTTGAGGATAGATGTAGATATCTATGGACCACAGCATCCACCTAACATGACCTGAACAGGAGGTCTGCTTGTTCGTTTGTCACCCTTATTCAATATAAAAGTACATAATCACTACGATTTAGGTGTGACTTAAAATCACATTTTTTATAACATTATACAGAGAATGCGTTATCCACACTGTTTAAAATATTATGTTCAAACATGTTACATTTAAAATGAAATTCTTGAGTATGCATGCATGTTTAGGTATACGTAGTTTGCACCAGCTAACCAAATATTCAACCCTTTATCTAAAAGACATGTTTATGGGGCTATTAGAAGCACCGTTAATGACCTCTTAGCTTTAGCCTTGGAAAGTTTAACGTAAAGGGCCTACAATATCTTTCCGAGTTAGCGATCAATAGGATAGACCTGTAACATTTTAGATAACATTATGTCCGCCTAATGAATACTCGTTAGGATTCAAAGATCATTGCCTCTATTATATACCTTCTTAGCATGGTTTGTTAAGTCTCAAAATTGTTTGATTTAATTGGCGCATCTAGTCATTAATAACTCAACAATAACATTTTAATACTGAATGTATATGTTGTGTTATTTAGTTTATAAACTTAAAATTAGCCAGCTTAACTTAGATTTAGTTTTAAGAGTAGACTAATATTATATATTTGTTATATAAAAGTTTATTTAAAAATGTTCGCGGCTTTATTGTAGCTACATTAAGTATCTGTCAATTAATATGTTCCAAATATATGAAATATATTATTTTATAGAGCCATACTGCAGTTATATTACGGTGGTATCGCGAAGGTATCGATTCCATCGAAGAAAGAGCACGCCCTCACAGTATACCAGCGTAAAATAGTAGCTTAATGCTGCTGTGTTTTGTATGGCAAGTGTAGAAATCCGAAGACCCTATTTACTAGGAAGGAATCATTTCATTCTGGTCCTCAGGGATGACAACGCATCTGATCCTTAATTGAGGATAAATGTAGATGTCTACGGGATAGATATAGATATCTACTTACCATCAGATCGACTATGTTCTCGTTTGTTACCCTTCAATAAAAAATGCTAAGAGCTTAATTTTTCAATTAACAAGCTAAAATTATTTAAAAATAAAATGCAATATAAACAACTTAAATTTACAGTTGTATCAATAAAAAGCTCCATTTTTTCACTTTTATAAGCAGTTAGGTTATCTATTTCATAGATATATATTATCTCATTATTGATAAAACGACACAAAAAGCAACTACCTATATCATATTTAAATAAATTTTCGTTTTATCCACGCTTCGTTTATCTACATAAACATGTTTTAAAATTATAAATTATGCAACCATACATTACAGTTTTTCAGAGTCTGCTGAACATAGACCTCCCCACTGGTTAGGCCGGTCACATACATACGGAATACCGTTTCGTAAGTCCGATTCGAGATTCCGAACGCAGCAAGTTCATATAAAATCTATGACCCGTCACACACGTACGGTAGTTTTCCATTCAATATTTTGCGGACAAAAGGGGATTCCGTATGTGTGTGGCCAACCCGTTCGGAATTCCGAAACGGAATCCCGAAACAGAATTCCGTATGTATGTGGCCGACCTTAAGGGGGACAATTGCAACAGTCGCCACGCTTGACAGGGTTGGCAAACGCAGTTGTTAATTTTCTTTTTATTGTTATTACAGTCTCCTCATACATCTGTCGCCTATTACAACACCCACGAGACGACGTTACGAATTTTTTAAATGCTAAATATTAAATACGCAGACCGTGTAGTGGCAGTGTTTGAACTTACACTACCCCATATCAGTGTGTGGGTGTCGTAAAAGACAACAGACAGAGGGAAACAAACTTTCCTAATAACGATTAAAAATAAAAAATAAACTGCGTTTGTCAACTCGCTTGCAAAGCCTGGCAACTATGGCAAATATCCCCCCTATGAGGCAATCTATGGAAGAGGCCTATGTTCAGCAGTTGACTTTAATAGGCTGTAACGGTAACGGTAATCCACATTCGCAGCTATAAGAAGGCAGTTGAACAAATTAATGGAAACAGGCCGCAATACAATGTTGCATTATCCGAAATAAAACCTAACAAAAACTTAAACGGTCCTTATAAGTAACTTGCCATAATGTTCGCATAATTGATGACTTAATTGTATTGATTTATATTCGTACACAATGACATATTCAGTATTTAATATTTTAGACTTAAATTCGCATCTTGTGCCGACCGTGAAACCATTAAATCAGGGATGTTTAAAAGCGGTTCGCTAGTACAGTGTACAAGTGTAAAAGGTACTATATTGCTGTACAGTAAGATTCAATTTACAATATTCAAAATCAGACCATAGAGCACTTAAACTGAAACAGTCTAATAGTATACATTCTCCCGGGAATTTTCAAAGTTGTTACTGGATTATCTTACGCCACGCCACCTCACAGCCGATATGACTAATTGTTCACTGCAATTTTGAATGCTAATTTATTACAATTGGTCAAGTGAAATTCGTAGTGGGTGGGGTTAGAGGGGTTGTCGGGCGCCTAGTATTTTTATTAAAATAAATGAAATTATCTTTGGTCTTTTGCAGTGTGTGAGTTTAGAACCTCTGTTCTAGTATTAATAAGAGGAAGACAAACGACTTCCAACCAGGTATCCACCTTCATTAATGGCGTAGAGATATTATTTTTAATCACCGCTCGTATGTAACGAGTTGACAGTGGAATAATTTATACGTACTTTAGGTTACGGTTATCTTTGGCGGAATTTCGACGTTTTGATTTATAATAAGCGACGTCGGAAAATAAAGACGGCCGTTTGCTCTTCGAGAAATATGTCGGGTATCTTTAATAAGAATTGCAAAATTACAATTTGGAGTACCTAAATGTGGGAGCTCAGCACGGATTTACAATACTTGAGCTCAGTTAGTAAATATAAAATGCATTGAGCAATACTTACAGACTAAACGGCAAATTTAAGATATTTTTTTTTTATAAATTATATTCAATATTTACAAAAAACATTGTATTAGTAGCCCTATTTCTTGCTATGGACAAGTAAATAAATAAAAATATTACTAATTACTTAAAGTTGTCCTATATATGTACGTTTCACTCCTAAGCACTGGCCTTCGCTCATTCCTGAGAGGGTTTTAGGGCAAGGAAACGTCCGCTGCGCTGCCTCAGTACGTGTTGGTGAACTTTACAATTTTGCGAATATTTATTTTTACTTTCTGAGATATGCAGGTTTCCTCTCAATGGTTTTCTTCACCGCCAGGCACAAGGAAAATAAGTTCTTACAACTGCAATTAACAAGTTTGTTGGTACCGGTGGAGATCGAACCCAGGTTGTTCGCGTTCTGTTATATTTACGGCGAGCTCTGTACCCCTGCGCCACGAGTACCACGACTCTATCTAATTAGTGTAATATGTTTTAAATACTTTAATCGAAAATTAATTAAAGGTAAAATAAAATGTAGCACATTTTGTTAAAAAAGCTACTAAAATTAATGTTCCTAAATAAAATAAGGAATTGATTAAATAAAGGAATGAAGTGAAAAAAAAATTACATATTATGCTTAGGTAACAATCACATAAGATAGACATGCAGTATTGAGTCACGATTGTGTTATATTTTTACAGAATTAACACATTTACTAGACTAGATTAGTGGACTAAATATTTATGCACGTTAGTAATTGAGTAGGTTATCTACATTATTGAGTATGCTTAGATATCTTACAATTGTGCACTTTAGTTTCAAATTGATAATTAATATAAAACTGCAAACTGTATTTCAATTTCACTGTGTGCTCGAAATTTACATAACACGGCTTGTTACTATTATTTATTCTGTGGTACCACTGTAAAGGTCAATCCATCACAGCGATATCGTACAATACAATACAATACTCTTTATTGTACACCAAGAAAAAATAAAAACATCAAAAATAAAAAAATAAACAACTATTGAGGGAAATACAAAGGGCGGTCTTATTGCTACATAGCAATCTCTTCCAGACAACCCAGAAGAAGAAATAAATAAAAATAAGAAAAGAACAATGGGCAGGGTGCACTAAAATAAAAAATAAAAAAAAAATAAAAACAAATAAAATAAAGATACAAACTTATGCATTAAAAAGACAACATTCTTCAGGCAGATCAATGACCATAATTAAGCGGAGGAAGTGAGAGGGGTTAGAGAGACAAATAGTATTCTTTAATCTGTTTCTGGAACACATTTAAGAATTGAGCGCTTCTAATTGACTGGAGTAAGGAGTTCCAAAGTTTTACTCCAAGAACAGAGAATGATTTATCATAATAAGTCGAGGGGTGCACAGGACATTGGAGGAAAAGATTTTCTTTGGATCGTAAGGAAAAATTATGACAGGAGCTGAGGAAGGACTAGCTATATTATATAAGACGCAGTAGAGAGCAGAAAGTATATAAGTATTCCGACGAAGACGGATTGGGAGCCACTTGAGCTTAGTGCGGTATTCTGAGACATGGTCATATTTGCGAAGTCCAAATATGAACCGTATACAGAGATTTTGGAGTCGCTCAAGCTTGTTAAGTTGTTCGTAAGTTCGTATTACATATGTTTATTTGTATAGTAAAAATAAATATGAAATGACCTCCCTCTTTTTCAGGTCGGTTAATAGAAAAAATGTTGTATCATTTTTCAAATGTTATTCATTTATGTTAGGTGTGTGTCAATTTGAAATTACTAGTCAACTTTACCTTAATTTGAGAGAGCATGATCCGATCCTCAACGCTGCTTCGAGCACTGTTACAGCTGCCTGGTACTGTCCGGCCGCTAGAAGTTCTTGCCCGACAACCTGCAGGAATTTTTTTTTAAAACAAGGATAAAGTAAAAAACTTAAACCAAACGACAAAATATTTCGTTTTATTTTTTTATACCTTTTTTACTGAAATTATTTCAGTAAACGGGTTAGGAATCGTTGAGGATTCTAGTTCCTTTATTTTCTGCCGACTTCCAAAAAGGAGACGGTACTCAATTCGACTGTCTGTTTTTTTATGTGTTACCTCAGAACTTTTTACTGAGTGAACCGATTTCGATGAGTCTTCTTTTATATGAAAGCTGATACTTCTCCTGTGGTCCCATATGAATTTGATCAAGGATCAAATAATTTTTGAGTTATTCTTAATAATTTATATTGAAGTCGGCTGTACAAAATTTTTAATTTTAAATTATGGGAAACTCAAGAGATATCTAGTGAAATACAGAATTACACAATATATATCGACGCTTGAAAGGCAATAATTACCAAGAGACATATTGGCAACTTTGCACTAGAGCATTTTAAAGTTTTTTTTTATATAGGATAAGGGAGTCCACCCGATGGTAAGTGGTTGCTGTGGCCCATAGACATCTACATCCATCCTCGTTTGCGAATCAAAATGAAGATGCGTTGTCACCCGTGAGAACTAAGATGGAACGCCTTTTTTCCAATAAAAAGGGTCTCCGGTTCTCTACACTCACCATACGAAACACAGCAGCGTTAAGCTGCTATTTTACGCTGGTATTCTGTGAGAGCGTGGTCTTTCCCCGGTCGAGCCGACCCCTTCGTGCTACAACCATAATATAGCTACAGCATGGCTCTAACGTGTTTGTTTTTTTTGGAAAAATATTTTAATCTAAAATTTTTTATAAGAATTTTAGATGCAAATTAAAGGCTATTAAACTGGCATTTAAAGGTTATGATTTTTCTCAATATTTTATGAAATAGTGTCGGTTAGTAATAATTTCTTCAAAATCCCAAACAGGTAAATGTTAATTACCGACATAAAATTTTTATTATAAATCAAGTAAAATTAACTAAACCCCATTGTTTTATAATTGTATTTGATGAAAAATGACGCATCCAGTGTAACACATGATAGAATGATCTAAATAGAAATCAAAAACACTTTTCTGCCATTTTTTTGAAAAAGTAACAAAGAATTAAGGTTTTAATACACAAAGTCAAGGACTTTCGGGCAAAGGTTTTCGACGGACATCGTAATCATCATTATCATTACAGCCCTTGTAGTGATCTACAAATACTACTGAGTATGAGCCTCCATCTGATGAGGGATGAATTAGAGCACACCACCACGCTGCTCTAGTGCGGGTTGATGGAGTTTTAGGCCAGTGACTAACCCTTTGTTAGTAACATCTGTATATACTGTTAACAGACGAATTTTGCAGGCAAATCTCTCGCAAAGTGGATATCTGATCTTATAAAGAATGTTTGCTGTAGTGGAATATTTAAGATATCTTACTTAAATCAACTGATGGTAAAAATAAACTAAAATAATTACTATTATACTAATACTATTACTAAAATAAGTAATTATAAAATCAGTACAGGTGGGTAAAACACAATTTCAACTAAGAAGAAAATTGCTGTCAAGTTTTTAAAATATCCTAAAATTACAAAAACGTTTCACAATCAAAACGACATGAGTGAAAATATTTTGATAAAGTACCAATTAAACAACACAATTAAGATCAAGTCCTAACAATTTAGAGCTTTAGTTACTACTTATTAGGTATATATGGAATATGAGGTTGCCTATGCGACAGTTCGGTGAAGACTAATCGTTATTTTGTTACCAACAGCCACTCAAAATCTATTTTACATTGCGTATAAATAAGCGACAAAATAAAATATTTGCAACAGGTGTAAGCCCATTTTTATACAAATTTCATATCAGCAATAGTTGTCTAAGTAACAAAAACAGGTATAACTTAATATCGCCTAAAATGTCGCTTGGTAATTATTGCCTTTCAAGCGTCGATATGTATTTCAGTTAGACATTTGTAGAAGGGCGTTTTAGCCGTATTCATATCTATTTTTTCCTTGTCATTAAATGATTTACTTATTTATCTAAATAAATATGACATCATTATTACCGCTACAAGCTATCATGGCCCGCTATCGAACGTAGACCTCCCCACTGATTGTCTAATAAGGGGCACGCCCACTATCGAACATAGGCCTCCCCACTGATTGCCTCATAAGGGGCACATTTGCCATAGTTGCCACGCCTGTCAAGAGCATCACTATCACACACAACACTCTGCTGCCCATCTCCCGGTTTGTTTCCCTTTGTCGCTTCTTACGTTACACGGGACGATATGGGGTGGATATACTTACACCGGAACTACTTGGTATGTCTTATGGTTAAGTATAAATAAATATCTATCTCAAAAAAGCTAAAAAGTTACAGTTTACTGGAGTGTACCGGTAGAACTGGCACTCGTTTTATATTATAATAACGTTCTTCAGAAATACACCTGTTACTCATATGAATTCCAAATGAAATCAAAATACCCAGCAATATTCACACTTTTATACTATAAAGTAAATTTTAGTCATAAATCAGTGAATATATTATATAGAACATACATTTCTTATGCAAATTGCAAATTTGATAAGCAGTAATTTGTCAGTATTTTTTATTCACGATCAATAAACACACAATGTCATCCAATTAAAATACACTGAGATAAGAAAAATTTACAAAGCGAGTTTTTTCGGGATTGTAATGATCCAAAGAGTTCAAAGACGTAGCTCCTATAACGAAAATATTTTGATGGGTTGAAAAAACAATATCATTACAGTCTATCAAAATTGCATTGCTGAATATAAGATTCTCCCATACGTTGCTTCATAGTGGATATTTGTAATAGTTGTCATGCTTTGCAGGCTGGTTGGCATCTGCTTATTATTATTTTAGGATGCAGAAAGATGCTGATGCCAATATCCTGTTTCCCTCTGTCGCCTCTTAGTCATCCACGGGATGACATGGGATAGTAGCTTCTCTTAGACCGCCACCACACAGCGACTAAAATGAAACAGATTAATAACTTACAGGCAAAATTTGTAATATTTTGTATTGAGGCAAACGACCATGCAGCTCATTTGATGGTTAGTGACTAACGCCGCCCATAAACAACTGCAATACCAGGGAGTCTTGAAGGTCCCTAAGTCGTAACAGTTCGGAAAAATCGTTGGTGGTAGTCGATTCCACGAGGAAGTCGTGCGAGAAAGAAACTACTGGTAAATCACACAATGGTGGACCGCTAATCATCCAGATGGTATGTATGGTATCGCGAGTTTTGTCGCGATGTCTGATGGTGAAATTTAGCGGCTGGAATTAGCCCGAACAATTCCTCTGAACACTCCCCGTGGTAGATGCGATAGAATATGCAAAGAAATGCAACATCCCTTCGCAGCGCCAGTGTGTCAATTCGATCTGCTATGCGCTGAATGCGATCAAGTGGAAGGAGCTGACACTGGAGTATCCCGGCCCAGAGATTGGATTGTGCGCCCGTTTATCACGGTTATTTTATAAAGAAATAAAATATTATTCGTTCCATTAAAAACAAAGTCCATATAATATCAATATCGGATTGCTTTCTTTGAAGTGTCGTTTCGCCGACCTGAGATTATTCAGAAATCTTCAATAAGATGTCATTTGCTCCGTGGGTATTATCGGTATAATAATGTGCGAAGATACGAATTAAAATATCATTAGCCTTTGCAAAAAAGCACAACGAACTTTTAGGAATCCAATGTCGCTTTGATCCAAGCCGTAAAATATATTTCATATATATGTCCGTTTTGTCTTGTGCTGAGCGGGATTAAACTGTTTGCAGAGACGACTACAGCTCGTGAGCCAGGTCCAGACATTTTGTTTTCTTACCTGCTTCGGCTTTCACGAGGTTCTCGTCATATGGAATGGTAATGTCGACCAAAAATATCCTTGACTGTGCCCGGTCCATCAGCACAATATCAGGCTTATTCGCAAGAATAGTATACTGTCTGTGATGATGGCCCGGTCCCAGTAGAGTCTGGCGCGGTCATTTTCGAGCACGGCTTCCGGCAAGTACTTATAATAAGGCATTTTCCAATCCACGAGACCGTATTTCAGAGCGAGCTCCTGGTGCAGAATCCTGGCTACTAGGTTGTGTCTGTGCAAATACTCATAAGTTAGATAGCATCGAACAACCGGAGATGACATGCCTAAGTTACTCACTGGGATGGCGACAAACTCGACTAAAGTCGACGTTCGAACCTCGAACGGAAAGGGAAAGAAACCGGCGGACGATGCGGGCGGTATCGAGGAGCACCGCCTTCTGCATTTGAGCTTGGAGCGATCCATCACAGAGTCCCAGCCGCCTCAGATGACCCGAGAGGCTGACTGGGACTATAGATTATTATTATTATTACATTAATTTCTTAGATATCTAGATTCTTTTTTTTAACATTGTACTATAATTTCTGTATAATGTTTAAAAATAAGAATTCAATTCAGTTATAGTTCTTGTTTATGCCATTAAAGGCCATTATGTTTGTCTACGACGCCATTTTGAGCGTTCATGTCTACAACACCGATCAACTGTCGCGCAGATTGTATGTAAATGCGAGGGTCGACCGCGTATTTATGGCTCTTTGATCACTCAGTCCCATTGTCCAAACAGTTAATGCCGCCAAAAAAATGCACAGACATCGTAAAGGACAACACGGCGGCGGTATGTATGCAAATTCACCTCGACCTGTGTATGCAGTTCTTATAGTCGTTAGTTGGACCTTGCATACTGAGATATTCGATGATCATTTATGGTTCGCTCTCATTGATTTACTTTTGTTACCGTGTTATACAACACTTGTGGGCTGAGTTAAAATCAAAAGAAAGCTCTATGTTATATGATGCTTATATGTAAGTCCGAATAATACGAGTATTTATTTTATTAAATAGTTCGTTTCGCATAAGCATCCATAAGGGATAAGTAAGCTGAAGTGGCAATGGGCCGGCCATAGAGCTCTAAGAACCTACAACCTATGGAAAAAATGGCCCTCGAGTGGAAGCGTCGTACCGGTAGGCGAAGTGAAGGGCGACCCCCCCCCCCCCGGATGGAGTGACAACCTGGTAAGACATGCAGGAAGTCGGTGGATGCAGGGAGCTCAAGACCATGATTTGTGGCATTACTTGGTGGCCGCCTATGTTCAGCAGGTGACTTACGAAGGGCTGTAATGATGATGATGATGAAGCATCCATCAAGTTTTGCTGAGTGAGTAATATAGTGTCTGCGCTTGCTGTTCTACTATGTCTAGCAGTTAACTATATAGAACTTTCATTAAACCGTAGGCGGTGTAGGAATATCCACTACTATCGTCCCGTCCATCGTAAGAGACGACAAAGGGAAACAAACCAGGAGATGAGCAGCAGCGTCTTCTCAATAATAGAAAATAAATAACTTTACCCGCCTGCCAAGCGTAGTATCTAAGGCAATATCCCCAATGAGGCAATCTATGGGGAGAGGACTGCGGGCACTTCTATGTGGACTTTTGATAAGATGTAAGAATGATGATTTTTCCGCTAAGGTAAAAATTTAAGAACGACATTACACCGAATGCCTATAAAATCAATCACTCCATTTCGTACCGTGATCGAAAAAACTAACAGCTTGCGATAGATGGTGGTATAACCATTTCGTATACGCCAATCGTAACATACCTTGATTGGCGATGAAATAAAATTGAATAAAATATTTTTAGAAGGAAGTCCTTTATCGGACGGTAGGAATTTGGCGGATGGGGGTAAGGCCAGAAAATGAGTAAGATTTTTCCATCACGACCCCTTCTGACGTAGTGTAACTGTACTGTAAACGGCCTTGGCGGCTATAAGGAAGTGAAATGGAATAATATTCATCTCCCTCGCACTATTTCTTGTCTTGCCATGAAAGAAATATTATTTTATTTTAAATGACGCTTCATTTTAATAGCCGCTAGTAGTTTGTTTATTAATCATTAAAAAAAAATACTTCGAAAAGAACTTCGTTCCAACTAAGTGTTCCACGACACTCATGCATATTTTTATTTCAATAAATTACAAGTAATTATTATTGAATGTAATTAATGGGCAAAGTGTCAAAGGTGCGAGACGTTTGGAACTGCGATAGCCAAGTCAGGCGATTAAGGCAGACTCTCTCTACAACGTATGTTTAGCAGTAGACGTTACAGGCGATAAAGAGTAAGAAGATTGTTAATAATTGTATTAACGCACATAGTTCTTGACTACCAAGCCTAGCTTTCAATCCCTGACTAAGCAAAAATTTGTGCTCATTTTTAAGTTTAATCGTGAATTATGTGAATTGTGATTATCCTTGAGATTCTGAAAATGCTTCATTCGCTATGATCCTATTATATAAACGTTATTTCGGCCTTGCGTAGGTGGGAATTGCCAACTAGTGTGTAGCTTTGTTATCTTTCACATTTGTAGCACAGTTCTCCTGCATAGTTGACAGATTTTAACAATGTTCAAAATTTATCAGAGTGACCGATTTGGCCAAGCGGCAATATTTTCACAAAGATTATAAGGAACGTGGTAAAGCCATGCTGCAGCTATATTAAACAGCAATAGTACACAGAATACCAGCGTAAAATAGCAGCGCAATTCTGTTGTGTTTCGTATGGTGAGTATAGAGAACTAGAGACCCTTTTTACTGGAAACAAGGCATTCCATCATAATCCGTCTTAGTGAAGGGTGACAACGCATTTGCATTTTGATACTTAATCGGGAATAGCTGTAGATATCTATGTGCCACAGCATCTATTTACCATCAGGTGGACTGCGTGCTCGTTTGTCACGTTATTTAAAAAAAAACTTTTGATGTAAATTTTTAGTATTTGTTTTACCAAACTACCAGTTTTCCTAGGAAAGGAGATTAAGTAAAATAATGTGCAGTGTGCGTGACAATCGTTATGCTTCCGGAGGTAAAGAACGATCGGCATTATTTCGGCATCGTGCATTACGTCCGGGGTATTGGATATCAGATGGTTTTCAACCGGGTCGCTGTCGGCAGTTTAAATATATTTAAATTCGACAGTTCGACGTCTGACTCACGATACACATTACTTTCGTCCAATTTAGTGGGTATTTATCCCACCAATTTAAATAAGTGCGGGAGTATTTTTGATAACTTACTTTGAAGTAACTGTGTATAAATATATAAGTGTCAATTTATTACGGTCATTATCATCATCATTACATCCCATTTCGAATTTACTCCTGATAATAGGCCTCCCGTAAGTAATGCCACAATACACAGTCCTTAGTCACCTGTACCCATCGACTTCTTGTATTTCTTACCAGGTTGTCAGTGCTATCCAATGAGAGGCAGCGTTACATTTCGTTTACCGATACGAAGCTGTCACTTGAGATCCTTTCTTTCCGATCGGTTGTTGGTCCTTCGAGCTATATATGACATAAGCTTATCTTCTTCTTATCTCCACTCTTCTTCTTCATTTTTCTTATCTTCACTCTTGCCATGAAAGACAAGCAAATTATTCCACTCATGTGCTGACTTACTTCGTTTGATGGCTTGCTTCGTTTTTCGTAACGAAGCAAGTCATAAATGAAATATTTTTGCGTAAAAGAACTTACCGATATCAAAACAAAAGGCGATTGGTCCAATTTCATAGCCTCCAGTTGTCTAAAAGTGGGTTCGAGGGTGACCCGCAGTGGCGATTTGAGAGAGGCTTCCACCAACGCTGCGAGGAGTTGTCGCGATGTGGGTTCCACTCCCAAGCCCGAGCTGAATGCAGCCAGAGCCTCGCCATGTCGCCCAAGACATTGTAGAGCCACACCTGTATTAAATTTAAAAGTAATAACTGAAAATATATTTATCCTATCAGTGACCCGTAATATAGGTCGACCTACTGGGATTGCGGATAATTTTATTAATTCAAAATAATAAAAAAAAACCCGGTTTCCAACCCGCCTGTCAAGCTTGAAAACTATGACATAATCCCCTATGAGGCAATCTATGGTTCTATACTTCCCATATGATTAGCAGGGGACTTTTATAGAATGAAATGGATCAATGGGTAATTTTATTTACACGTAGACCAGTAATACCAGTGATTACAATTCGATACTCTAGAATCCTGATTATATTAATAGAAAATTAAAACCATCATTTACCTATAATCAGTAACAATCAATATTATCAATTACTCGATTAATATTATTGGCTACATCACAACTTACCATCAGGTGGGAATGTAGTTAAGCGCTGGCTTAGAATTATATAAAAAAAAATCAAAGACCATTCTAATAAATTTTCTCAAAAATTTTAAACTCAAAGATTTTCGCTCTATATCTGTTTACCAAGTTTTATTACAATTTGTTAAGGTATTTCGAAGATTAGGCCGAACAGTCAGACAGTCAGACAGTCAGATAGACAGACAATATATTATAAATCGTTATTCACGTGTTAATGGCATGCAAATCATCCCCTGAGTTCGATAAAAGGCAGTAATTTAAATATTACAACGGACACTTTAAATTTACTTATTTGTATAGATAAATGTCGTTCATGTTAAGTTTTTTTTTTATAGGATAGGGTGACAAACGAGCACACAGTCCACCTGATGGTAAGTGGTTGCTGTGGCCTATAGACATCTACATTTATCCTCGTTTGCGAATCAAAACGCAGATGCGTTGTCACCCGTGAGGACCAAGATGGAATGCCTCCATCTAGTAAGAAAGGTCTCCGGTTCTCTACACTCACCATACGAAACACAGCCGTGTTAAGCTGCTATTTTACGCCGGTATTCTGTGAGAGCGTGGTCCTTCCCCGGTGGAGCCGACCCATTCGTGCTACAACTATACTACTAATATAGCTGCAGCATGGCTCTACCACGTCTTAAAGTGTTAAACTATGGCAATAGGCAAACATCCTCCCTATGAGGCAATCTATGGGAGAGGCCTATGTTCAACAATGGACTTTAATAGGCTGTAACGGTAACGGACGGTTTTTACTTTTTATCTCATTTTGTTCCACATTTCAATATTACTTAATTATTTTTAATAAGTCCGCGAATTGCGTAGCATGAGAACCTTAAGAAACCCATGCCTAAGTGGAAACAGGACAACATTCCATAATTGGGTAAATTCAATAATTGGAGTTCGGTGCATGGAATAAGATAATATTATGTACATACATTGCAGAAATACTTTTTAAATAATTGGGTACGGTATGTAAAGGGAAATGACATCATTATTTTGTATCGATAGTATAGCACACGTATACATTTAGCACTTATGTTCTTAATTTATCGAAATAAAAGTTTTTAAGGGTCGGAACCACTTAAAAGGCAAAGTCGATAGCTTAACTTGTAGGTGCACATGTACAGGATGTTATATAATAAGTTAAAGTTACAGCCTATATACGTCCCACTGCTGGGCACAGGCCTCCCCTCATTTCTGAGAGGGTTTTAGAGCAAAGAAATGTCCGCCACGCTGCCCCAATGCGTGTTGGCGAACTTCACATATCTTCGAATTTATTTTTCTTATTTCTCAGACATGCAGGTTTCCCTCACGATGTTTTCCTTCACCGCCGAGCACGTGGTAAATCAGCACTTAAAATTGCAATTAAAAATTTCATTGGTGCCGGCGAGGATCGAACCCGGGTTGCTCGCATACTGTGAAATTTACAGCGAGCGCTAACCATCTGAGCTACCACGGCTTTGTTTATATTATGCTGTTATATAATGAGGTGTATTCATTATTCCCTAGAATGCATTGGAGTCAATAGGAAAAGCTAAAAATACATTTGTGACTTTCTTGCTTCCTCTTTATCTACCTAGGTATCGGTGTAGTTTGAATCTGTTACCTATTTCTGACGTCAAACAGCACTACATCCACTGCTGTATTCAGGTTTGAATGAACAAGGAGCCTGTGTAATAGCATCTTAGTTCTCAGAGAAGATGATGTGTAGCCATCTTTGTTCAAAGTTGGTTGCGTGGTAAAACTAAGTAATTAGGTTTAACTCAATCGTTACACCAGACACATAAAAATGCATAATAACACTTCCCTGTAGTATATATTATTATTTAATTTTATACCCATTGATACGTAGTAGAGGAATCAGCTTCTCACTGTTAATACCTAGCCTAGTAGTGTACGTGGTAGAGCCATGCTGCAGCTATAATATGATTGTAGCACGAATGGGTCAGCTCGATCGGGGAAGGATCACGCTCTCACAGCATACTAGCATGAAACTGCAGCTCAATGCTGCTGTGTTTCGTATGGTGAGTGTAGAAAACCGGAGACCCTTTTTAGTGGAAACGAGGCAGGGCTCACAACGCACCTACATTTTATTTCTTAACAGAGGACTAAATGTAGATGTCACAGTACCACACACATACACAGGGCCACAGTATCTACTTACGATCAGGTAAACTAAACTGTGTGCTCGTATGTCACCATTATTCATTTTATAATGATGGACACCTAGTAGAGGAGACAACTTCTGAATGTTAATGCCTAGTAGTAATGTGTCATAACTAAAGTTATGTAAACTGAGCACGCAATAAGAAAAGTGAAAGGTTGATTGTTGTAGACATTTACATTAGAAATACGGAAAAACCATTATGCTAGAATGATCGCATGCTACATTTGAATTATTATCTCTGAATGCAATTCATTATTCAAATCGATTATTTAACTTTTTAATGAATTAAAAAGTTTATTGCAGTCGTGAGTGCATAATCGTAAGTCCACTGCTGAATATTGGCCTCCCTTATAAATTGTTCCAAGGTTTCAATAGTTCAAATCTAGTGAGGTGCTGCCCTTTTATTATTCATTTACTCTCCAACTAAGTCTTAAAAGTTGAAAAAGTTAAAGTTACAGCCTAGCCTAGTTAGTCCCACTGCTGGGCAGATGCCTCCTCTCATTTCTGAGAGGGTTTTAAGGCGACACCGCGAAAAAATGCACCTCCTTAATCGAATAGTATAGGAGTATGACACGACTAACGAAACTGGAATTTTGATATAGGTAAATTCATGTCTTTATCTTGAGTTTGCTTGCTCAAAAACACGATTGTAAAATTTTGACTCGATCATAATAATTTGCGAAAACACCTCTAAAAAATCACTATAGTTGAAATTACTTAATCTATATGCTTGGAAACCACTCGAATACATTCATAACATCAATATTCGTAATTTACTTGCTCATTATTTTGATTACTAAAATCAATAATTTTTTTAAAATATTTTAAGATTCTACGCAATTTCTAAGCGGTTTTAATCGTCGTGGGCGCTATTTTACACCTTATGACGGTGTTTTTGAAGTTTTTATAGAAATTATGTTTTACTCTGGTTATTCCGGTGATAGCCCGCTTCAACGGTTTTCGATGTGTCGCCTTAAGGCAAGGAGATGTCCGCCGCGCTGCCCCAATGCATGTTGGCGAACTGTGACCCGATTTTGGACGATCTTAGGCTGTGTACATACATTTTTATATAATATTTTTAGTTTTTACGTTAATTTAACTGACAATAATAAAACGAAGACCTTGACGATAAAAATTACTGATTTTCTGTGAAAAATGTGATAAATAGCTCGCATAACTCGCATTAAAAATTTATAGCTAAAATATGTATAACGTACCCTGTCTGTAGTAAGCCTTTGGCCAATTCGGGCAAAGTTCCCGCGCTCGAGTTGCATCTTGGAGAGCCGCTGCGAATTGTCCTTGCTTTAATCTGGCTGCAGATCTGTACAAAAATGAAAACAATCTATTTGCTAAACAAAATATTTATATTAAAATAATATTTTTACGGAGCTCACGGCCGTATTCTGTGGCACTCCTTCGGGGATTATACTACTATATTTAATAGTGGACTTATGAAGGGCTGTAATGACGATGATGATGATGATGATGAATCTTTATATATAATCGTTGACGCATATGTTAACGCACGTCTAGTTTCTTTGATTTGTTAGATAGTTAGTTTTTACAACTTCATAGGACTGTTAGCGCTCGTGAAATTTCTGTACGGCGTTAACCGATTGAGGCCATCTTCAATCAATATGTTTATTTGGACGAGTGGATGGTTCATAGCTACGTTAAGTTTGCTATCTTATAGCTATGTATACGTTGAAACGAATTCTATATTTTTCTGCCGACTTCCAAAAAGGAGACGGTACTCAATTCGACTGTATTTTTTTTTGTTTTTCTTTATGTGTGTTACCTCATAACTTTTTACTGGGTGAACAGATTTCGATGATTCTTTTTTTATATGAAAGCTGATACATCTCGTGTGGTCGCATATGAATTTGATTAAGGCCAGAGCAATAGTTTTTGAGTTATTCTTAATAACTTATATTCAAGTCGGCTGTACAAAATTTTTAATTTTTAATTATTATCAAAATGAATCGTACTCACAATATAGTATGTTAGTCGACTACTAAAATAAACACCATACAATTTGAATCCGACAGGTGGCGCTTTTAATAGAATTGAGTTTTTAATAAATGTTACATTAACGCTGTAAAGAATTCAGAGTGATTACTGAATAAAACTAAACAGGCAACCTTAAAGCGTAAAGGGAAGCTCAACGTTCTTCTTTGATAGCTGTTATCGTTATAAGGCACCATTTTGAGGTTGAGGTTAGTTTACAATAGTAACATCCCGTTTTTTACCTGCTATTATTAAAAGCAGGTAAGGTTACTTTCTATTAGTCAGACCTTTATTTTAAAGTGAATGTCGTTAAAATTCATCCTTTTTCTCATTCATCAGTTAAAATAGTTTTAAGCGCCATGTGAACTCTAATATCTACAGCTACATATACTTGTTTCCATTAACTGGCATAAAAAACCTTATAATTTCACTATCCGTTAAAAGTTACTGCAACTAAATTCGTAATGGAGTTTTTTTGCAATATTCGTCTTGTGAACTTCTTACGTGGTAGCGCCATGCTGCAGCTATATTAGTAGTATAGTTGTTGTAGCACGAATGAGTCGGCTCGACCGGGGAAGGACTGCGCTCTCACAGAATACCAGCGTAAAATAGCAACTTCATGCTGCTGTGTTTCGTATGGTGAGTGTAGAGAACCGGAGACCCTTTTTATTGGAAAAAAGGCGTTCCATCTTAGTCCTCACGGGTGACAACGCATCTTCATTTTGCATTCGCAAACGAGTATAGATGTAGATGTCTATGGGCCACAGCAACCACTTACCATCAGGTGGACTGTGTGATCGTTTGTCACCCTATCCTATAAAAAAAAAGATTTAGAAGTTATTTTTTTTTGGATAATATTACTTTCTGATATGCATTATTTCTTCTATTTTTATACTACACTTATCTTTCTACTCTACAAATTACGTAAAAATTTTGGTTATAGAAAAGCGAACATTATATGTATTACGTTAAGTGCAGTGACGGTGTATCCACTACCCTATGTCATCCCGTGAGTGTCGTAATTAAACACAGAGGAAAATGAAACCGGAGATGGGCAGCAGCATCTTCCTAGTAACACGCCTGCCAAGCGTGGCTCCTATGGCAATCCCTTCTATGAGGAAGGCCTATCAGCAGTGTACTTTCGGTAAATTGTAATGAAATAATGAGTTGAATAAAGTCTAATATAATACACAAAAGAGTAATAAGCCACTGAAATATTTATGCAACAAATCGTCAGGTATAAATAAATAAAAAATAATAATATTTTGCTAGTATTTCTCCACTTCCAATTAAAATATGTGTGTCTTCGAGACAAGAGCGAATAGATTTTGTTAAAAGACCTTTATCATCTTTAGCTTTATCACTTCTACCATCAGGTCGTGGTCAAGCACTGGCTTATAATGAGCAAAAAATATGAAATGTATAAAAAGTATTCTAACTATTAATTACTCAATTTTATTGTGTGTATTCTCAACGTACGATTGTTTTAAATATTTTGTAGGAAACATTTTACTTTGTCTGTCGCCTCTTGTGAAAGCTTTTGCGTACATAGCTTTCTATAAATAGAACAATTGGACATTGGACACATTTACAGCAAATGTTGGACACAATATACACAAAATATTGTTTAATTTTGTTTTACCTGTTACTATATAAAATATGATTTGCAGGATCAAGAGTTAACGCGTCGGTATACAAGGCGACAGCTGTAGAGAAATCACCGGCCTGGCATGCCGCATTAGACGCGCGCACTTTTTCCACGAAGAGGGCTCTGGATGCTGCCCCTAGAGACGCCGAGCCGGTGGGCTCCACCTACAAATAAAATAACCTTTTAATGAGTTTTTCCTTAAATTAGTACATTTTTTATAGAATGGGGGAGAAAAAACAAACAACAGAGCACACAGTCCACCTGATGGTAAGTGGATACTGTGGCCCATGGACATCTACATTTATCCCCGATTGAGAATCAAAATATAAATGCGTTGAAGGACTGTCCAGAAGTCTGAGGACTAAGATGGAATGCCTCGTTTCCAGTAAAAAAGTCTCCGATTCTCTACACCCATCACACAAAATATAATTGTTATTTTTCGCTGGTATTCTGTGAGAGCGTGGTCCTCCCACGATTTAGCCGACTCATTCATGCTACAACCATAATATAGTTGCAGCGTTACTATACCATATAAATAGCTGCAACGTGGCTAATACATAAATAGCTGCAGCATAGTGTACTACTACTGTGATTGTCCAAAACAAAAGGATTTAAAAAGGGGAAGGATCTCCACGGCTTCGTGGCGCAGTGGCTTAGCAATCAGTTGTTGCGCTGGGAGCCGCGGGTTCCAATCCCGCACGGAACAAATATTTGTATGGCCTACAAATAATTGTTCCGGGTCTGGATGTTTGTCCTTGTGCAATTTATGTTTGTAAACTGCCTCCACGATACAGGAGAAAATCCTAGTGTGGGGGTAACGTTTTCTAAATAAAAAAAAATAAAAAATTAGATGTATGTTCTTTTTTTGTATGTGAGGTAGGTACTCGATATCTTCGTTAGTTGCTTAGTTGTAGACTGATTTTAATGATTTTTTTTATTAAATCAATTAGAGATGAAGTTTAAATGTAACTCTTTAAACGGAATTGATAATCCTTAGTCGGGTCAAAAATTTGACTTTATTAAAAATAACTAAAAATAATAATAAAAGCGTCGAACAATCGGTTGGAACGAAGTTCCTTTCGTAGTACATTATTATTGATAAACGTATGTATTATATTATTAATTAACAAATATAAATAAATGATTACTAGGATCTATTTAAATGAAGCGTCATTTAAAATAAAATAATATTTCTTTCATGGCAAGATAAGAACAAGTGCGAGGGAGATGAATATTATTCCATCTCGCTTTCTAATAGCCGCCAAGGCCGTCTACACTACGCCAGGGGTCGTGACGGAAAAATCCTAACACTTTTTGTCGCCTAGCCCCCAGCCGAATCCGTACCGTCCGAAGGAACTTAGTTCCAAAACTTAGTTCCAATAATTTTCGCATAATAGCTTCAGAAGTCGGGGATTTATGACGATGAACTATTTGACTTCAGAAGCTATTATACGGTACCTACTTATCTTATTCTTTTAGTTCATAAGTCGACTTTTACTTTTATTATTGATCCAATCGAAGTCCAAGCCGCCAAAGTTGAGAGAAGTAAGCGTCTCAAACGTCCACACAATCCACCTGATAGCAGGTGGATGATGTGACACATTGACACCTACATGAATCCTCGATAAAAAAGAACATAATGCAGATGTATATTCCGAGTACTAAGATGGAATACCTCGTTACCGGTAAAAGTGGCTTCCGCGTCTCATCACTCACCTAATATCACTATTTTACGCAGGTATTCCGTGCGAGCGTGGTTCTTATCCGGTCGAACAAACCGTATATAAAGTTTTACTTTCACGTTAGTGTCTATTAAAACCGTATGACAACTTGGATAAGTATCAATTAAGCTTGTAAATTTATCAGTAAATTACATAACTCCTGTTTATTATCTGTATTAAAATCGGTGATGGTTCTCGTATCTAAAAACCGTAACATTTTCGATTCAGCACACTGCAATGGGCTATAAAATCGACGGGCAATAAAAGTTTTGATTTTAATTGGATCGGACATTTACGATCGTGTTGATTTAATGTTTTATGTTTTCATTGGACGATGTTTCTATTGAAACTTTGGCGGTAAATTAAAGCGACGCAAGCAAGCTTGATAATATGGTGCCAGTACATACATACATGTTATACAAACATACAAATAAAATTTAAGTGTCTCTCTGTAATATTCAAATAACTATTTTTGACATTTTTTTCTGTATGTCTGTCTGTCCGGGCAAACCTTTGGAATGGCTGAACCGATTGTATTGAAACATTACGAGCATTGTTAGGAGGAATCTACATTATATTTTATCCGAATAATTTAAAGATATTTATTAGAAAAAAAAACTTAATAAAATAAATGACCTATTATGTAATGACCTATCCATCCATCACAGACTATAAAAGTCCACTGCTGAACATAGGCCTCCCACATAGATTGCCTCATATGGAGATTTTGCCAAAGTTGACACGCTTCGCGAGCTGGTTGTCAAGCGCAGTTTTTTATTATTTGGAGTTGTTATCAGGAAGACGCTGCTGGTGATAGGCACCTGTTTCAATTTCCCGCTGTCGCCTCTTACGATACCCACGGAACGATATGGGGTAGTGGATATTCTTACACTGCCACTACACGGCTTAACACCACGTTAAGTAGGCGGAGCCGGGGTGGTTCCCTAGTTTAAAATAATTCTATCTATTTATTCGATTTCGATTTCGATTCTTCTTAGAACTGAAACGATAACGAGCATACAGTCCACCTGATAGTAAATGGATGCTGTGGGCCATAGACTCATAGCCTTTTGGTTCTTATCAAGAATGAAGGAAGAAACGAAAACTGGCAGCAGTAAAAAGCTTCCAGTTTTCGGCTACTAATTATTATACGCAATTCTAAGCATTATGCTGCTATATTACGCCGGTAGACCGAAAGAGCGCGAATCTTCTCCGATCGAGGCCCTTGAGAACTAAGAAGGAAAACCTCGTTACCAATAAATATGACTTACGATTCTATGATAATAATATTTAAAAATATAAAATATAAACTATTGATAAATCCAATTGTGCATGCCTTAAGCGCATCGCAACATGATTATATCTAAACTTTTAAAGTAGTTTAAATACACACAAGTTTTCACTAATAACTTTATTACTTTACCTACCTGCTTGCAATTTTCCGATAATTTTATGTAATTTTATGAGAGATGACTACATATTTGTGCCATTTGCTGTAGAGACTATCAGAGGTTCACGTCCGGTGAGGTTCCTAAAGGAAAGTTGCTGCTGGTGATAAGTGGGCTGGTTCTTTTCTCGCTCAAGGCTAAGTATAGCCATTCAGCGTGGAAACGCAGCCAGCGTTCTTGGCACGATACCACGGGGAGTAGGACTGTATGATAATTAAGTTACTAGTTTTAGTTTTTTTTATTGTTATAGATTTTATGTCAAACTTCAATTAAAAAAGTTTGGAAAATCTAAAATTAGACGATTATAAAGCTCATATGATAGTTAAAAAATTAAAAAAATGTAAATTGTAGTTCTATTCGTCAAGAGTTCCAGTAGCAGTCACCGAAGTACACCTTCATGTCACTACGTCAAGTCCAGAGTTAAGAACTGTTCGTAACTAACAAAACGAGCCCAAGCTCGGCACATCTAGTTCTCCTCGTCGAGGAGTTCCAGTAGCCGTTATTAAAGTCCATCTTCAAGTCACTCTATCAAGTCCCGAGGTAAGTTCTCATCATAACTAATAAAACAAGCCCAAAATCGGCACACCTATTACTACTCGTCGGGGAGTTCCAATAGCATTCATCGAAGTACACTTTCAGGTCACTCTATGAAGTCCGGAGGTAGAGGCGGATTAGATGTCGACGGCGCCCTAGCCTAGCACCTCATCGGCACCCCTCTAGGGGCCATATTATATCTATAATAAATTAAATATACTCATTTTGCTAATAAACTATATTATAATTTATAACATTGTTTAATAATTGCAAAATTATTAGGATACGAGTACGGTATTACCAGAGAGGCATAAATGAAAAATGCGATGAGAGTAAGAGTGATTTAGGAGTAATCAAATACGACGGTTTTTTTTTCGTTTAACAACTTCTGCGCGCGCCTTTTTAACCTTGCGCCCCTGGGCACGTTCCTAGTTTGCCTTAAAGATAATCCGCCACTGTCCGGAGGTAAGGTCTCATCATAACTAACAAAACGAGCCCAAACTCAGCACACCTATTACTATTACGACTCTTTGAGGAGTTCCAATAGCATTAACCGAAGTACACCTTCAAATCGGGGTAAGGTCTCATCATAACTAACATAATGAGCACAATCTCGGCATACCTAGGTCTACTCGTCGAGGAGTTGCATTAGCAGATATCGAAGTACACCTTCCGGTCTCCATAAAGTCTAAGACGTTTAAGTATATTTATACATAAACCCTGCGTACTTTAAGCGAAACAAAATATAGTAATAAAGATCCGTGATTATAAAATAATAATAATATCTTACCTTAGTCAAATATGTATCAATTTTGGTTTATGGAATATTTTGTATTTATAAAGCGATCGATATGATTCAGCACGAACACGTTCACGTGCACGTTCAATACGAACGAAAAAAGTACTCTGTGGCCGGAAGTGAGGCTAAGTGTATTTAGTAAAATAAATTAATACAAGGCTGCTCAAAACACCCAAAAATATCACTATTTCTTAGCCGAAAAAAATTAATTACAACTAAACAAATACATGATAGATGAAGAATTTAAAAAAATATATTGAGTTGAACAATTGATATTTTCAAAAGTATCGTGTTTACGCCTTCATGCGGACTTGATAAATCTACACATTATGTCACTAAAACCGCTTTTTTATGTAAAAATAACAATTGATCGATTTAAAAAAAAAATAAGTTCAGCAATCATTTTTCTTTCTGACAATGTGCTTTTTTTATAGGAGAGTAAGTGACTACCGCCGCCCATGAACAACTGCAACACCAGGGGAATCGCAGATGCGGTGCCGGCCTTTTAAAAAAGAGTAGGCTCATTTATTGAAGGTCCCTAAGTCGTATCTTTTATATATTATTTCGTTTATTATCGTTTTATCATTTATATGTTCAATATGATTGTTAGATACGACTTCATGCGACAAAATCTTGATTTATAGGCGCTAGTAGAATTTACC